GCTCCAAAACCTCTCAGCGGCTTGTGGGAGTTGTAGGCCTCTGGTAGGGTTGCCAAGTCCATTTTTCTTACCGGCGGGGGAGCGTCGCCGGGGTCTTGGAGCCGTCTGTCCACACGCGCGCAAAGCGCACGCACGCCACCAGCACGTCACCAGAAGTGACGCACAACGACTATCACGTTGAGGGCGTGGCCCCAATCGTCGGGGGGAAAACCATCGAGTTTTCCCTCCGACGATCGGGGCCACGCCCCAACGTGATCGACGTTGCGCTGCGCTTTGGGGGGCGGAGTTCCCCCCGGGGCCCGATTCTGCGGGGGCGGGAATTGGGCCTCTGAACCGGGGGTTTACCCGCCCCCACTTGGCAGCCCTAGCCTCTGGTGGCACAGCCCAGATCATGACAACCTCCCTAACTGAAGCAGACCAAAACAACAAAAGTAAAAACTGAATTGCTAGCACTTTAATATTATGTTTGATTTTAACACTGTTTTTCTATTACTGTATTATTATTTATTGGAAACTGCATTAAGCAACAAATGGTTTTTTGTGTATTATTAAAACTTTTATCCTGTTTGTAAGCTGCCCTGAGCCAGCCTAGGCCGGGAGGGCGGGATAAAAATCATTAAGATAAAGAAATAAAACCTCCTCCGCCTCCGAACCACATCTGGACACGTGACATTTTTATCGGCAGCTACAGAGGAACTGTGGTGGCTCAAGTGGTTAAGACGCTGAACTGCAGGCTGTGGAAGGTCAGTAGTTCAGCAATTCAAGACCCGAGTTGCCACATGACGGAGTGAGCTCCCGTCTCTAGTTCCAGCTCCTGCCAACCTAGCAGTTCGAAAGCAAGAAATTGCAAGTAGATAAACAGGTACCACTTCGGTGGGAAGGGAATAGCGTTCCGTGCGCCTTGGTGTTTAGTCATGCAGGCCACATGACCACAGAAACATCTTCGGACAGCGCTGGCTCTTCAGCTTTGAAACGGAGATAAGCACTGCAACCCTAGAGTCGGACTCGACTGGCTTTTGAGCAAGGGAACCTTTACTTTTTACAGAAGAGAGAAACTTCACACGATCTCAGGCCCTCTGTAAGTGCACTGGGTATCAGTGGCTCCGCCGCTCAACCGAGCTGCCCTTAGGGCCAGGCCGTCTCCCTTTAGACCCGTTACCTTTATCGGTTTCGTTCTTCAGCTTCTTCGCGTTGCTCTTCTGCAGCCCTTCGATCCCGTCCGGTTTCGCCAGGCCGGCCACTTCTCTCTTCCCCGCGGCCGGGTTCTGGTCAGCGTTGTCCATCAGGGGGATGTAAGTCGTTGCGTGAATCAACGGCTCGTCCACCAGCGGCATCACTGGGATTTCAGAAAACAAAAAGGAGCAGGAGAGGTCGGGTACTGGAAGAAAAGAGTCCGCTGGCTTCAGTTTGGCGTGCATTCTTTCAGAGACGAACAAGGACCCAACTCTGTAGGGGCTGTAATTACGTAACTCGCAGCACTTCCAAGGACGAAGCCGCTGCTTGTGTTTGTGGGAATGGCGGGTGCCCTGGCTTAGCTTTTCCCTGTCTTTGTCCCTCTCCTCTTGGGAGGTCTGGAATTCACCATCATGGGTTTAGGGGCTGGAGGGTAAATCCTAGGGCGGAAGAAGTGTCAGGGTAATAGAGAATTTCATCTAACACTGCCTAGGACAGTGGTGGCGAACCTATGGCACCTCTCTGTGGGCACGCGTGCCATCGCCCCAGCCAGGCCCGGACCATCATTAAAGTGTCGAATTCTCTGCCAAATAACTTTTAAGTCAATGAAAGCATTTGGGATTGCTTCCCTTACTTTGTTTGGATCATCTTAAGTTAATGTATGAGTTGTTTTTTTCTAAAGTAAAACCTCAGTATTCAGGTTAAATTGCCGTGTGGGCACTTTGCGATAAGTAAGTGGGTTTTGGGTCGCAGTTTGGGCACTCGGTCTCTAAAAGGTTCGCCATCACTGGCCTAGGAGGAATCATTCCTCCTCATTCCAGTAACATTCAATATTCCCAATTGTGGCCGTTACTGGATACAGAGGCCGGGAAGGGAATTTCCCAACACACGAATATCCTGGGAAGTATATTTTAATGTTAAGAGGCAATTTATGCAGTACTCGGTAAATCCTAGGGCGGAAGAAGTCTTAGGGTAATAGAGAATTTCATCTAACACCGCCAAGGAGGAATCATTCCTCCTCATTCCAGTAACATTCAATATTCCCAATTGTGGCCGTTCCTGGATACAGAGGCCGGGAAGGGAATTTCCCAACACACAAATATCCTGGGAAGTATATTTTAATGTTAAGAGGCAATTTATGCAGTACTCGGAGGAGGGGCACCCGCAGTATGTCAAGGGCTGTATTGATACCTTGTCTCACTCAAACTGCTTTGATAATGAAAACAGGGAGAGAGTCTTGTATATCTTGTGTTTAAATGTTTTGTATCTGATGTATTTCTACACACCTGTATTGATTTTTTTTTAAAGACAGAGTTCAGAGAAAAGGAGGAGGAGGAGATTGGATTTATACTCCGCCCTTCTTCACTCGGACTCTCAGAGCGGCTTACAAACTCCTTTCTCTTCCCCTCCCCACAAAGGACACCCTGTGAGGTAGGTAGGGGTGAGAGAGTTCTTGACAGAACTGCCCTTGAGAGAACAGCTCTGACAGAACTATGGCTTGCCCAAGGTCACACCAGCAGCTGTGTGTGGAGAAGTGGGGGATCAAACCCGGATCTCCCTGATTAGAGTCTGCACACTTAATGAAGGGAAGGGAAGGGAAAATGTGCTGGGCAAGAGCCCCACCTGGCTCCACGCACATTCTGAAAATACTTGGCAGGTGCCAGGTAAGGTGTTAGTGGGCCCCACAGTAAAGAGCCCAGGGGGCGGGCACATACAACAAGCCCCACCCCCCGCTCCCAGCAGCCCTCAGTCAGAGCAAGAAGCAGCCAGGTAAGTTGCAGAGCTCCCACCGGTCCAAGACAGTCCAGTGGCACCTTTAAGGCCAAGTTTTATTCAGGTACAAGCCTCCCTCCTCTGCGAGGACAGAGCTGCACGTTCCTTCCCCCCCCAATAGCTAGCAATCCCAAACAGTCCAGTGGAGCCTAAGCGGTGGGTGTTGCCTTCTGACACACTTCCGGTGATGCCAGGGGGTGTGGCATACGCAATTAAGTTATACTAATGAGCTATGCTAATGAGCTCCTGCACCTGTTTTTCTACGAAATGACCCCTGCTGACATATCATATCGAGCTGCCTTATGCCAACTCAGGTCTTCAGTCCATCAGATGCAGTTCAGACGCAGCATCCCATACATTACCAATTTCAAGGCCAAGTTTGTGCCCAACTAAGACGCAGCGGCTGATGGACTGAAAGGTTCGTGTGCAATCTCATTTACGATTCAGGTTCTTTTGCCCTCCTCCTCCCACAAGAAAAAAAAATGGCACACGCTACCATTCTCTGTCTTCTGCTTCTTGGCCGAAACTTTCTTCTTCCCTGATGCGCTTTCTGGTTTGACCTCGTGATGTAAGAGGAGAGGGTCTTGCTTTTTGGTTGGGGGTAGTAATGAATCACTCTTCGCGTCCTGGTCGTCTGCGAGGAAAGGAAAGGTGCGTCAGCTTGTATCGTTACCTAAAATCGCTGTCTCTTTCATACACACGCGCACACAATTAAAAGAAAACAAAAGAGACGTCGGACTGTTTCACAGAATGTTAGGGTTGGAAGGGACCTAGGAATGGCTATATTAGGGGTGTGTGGCCTAACATGCAAAGGAGTTCCTGCTACAAAAAAAGCTCTGGGTTTTGACAACAAACAAGGTAAACAGAATAACAAGCAAAAGGTGGGTGTGGCTGGATGAGCACACTTCTGGTAACATGGGGGTGCGGCCTGATGTGCCAATGAGCTGTGCTGTCAGGGGTGTGGCCCAATATGCTAATGAGTTTCTGCTGTTGGGTGTGGCCTATTATACGAATGAGTTCCTGCTGGGCTTTTTCTACAAAAAGAGCCCTGCCTACAACATACCCGAAAGATGGTCGTCCAGCCTCTGCTTGAAAACGTCCAGCGAAGGAGCATCCACCACCTCCCGAGGCAGACTGTTCCACTGCTCAACCACTCTTACAGTTAGGAAGTTTCTCCTGATATTTAGCCGGTATCGACTCCCTTGTAATTTCCACCCATTAGATCTAGTCTTGCAATCCGGAGCAAGAGAGAATAGATCCGCTCCATCTTCTACATGACAGCCCTTCAAATACTTGAAGACTGCAATCATGTCCCCTCTAAGCCTTCTCTTTCCCAGGCTAAACATACCCAACTTTTTAGAAAAGAGACGATTTAGGGGGGACATGATAGAGGTTTATATAATTCTCCACATGAGGGAGCGAAATTCTTCGCCCTCTCCCAAAATACTAGAACTTGAGGGCATCCATTGAAGCCGATGGGCAGTAGGTTCAGGACGCACAAAAGGAAATACTTCTTTACACAGCAAGGGATTAGTGTGGAATTTGCTGCCGGAGGATATAGTGACAGACACAGGAACAGACAGCTTTAAAAGGGGATTAGACAGATTCATGGAGGAGAAGCGTATCAATGGCTACTAGCCATGATGACTCAGGGGAACCTCCACATTCAGAGGCACTAATCCTATGAATCTCAGAGCCAGGAGGCAACATCAGGGGCTTCACTGTCTAAGAATCGGCATCGCTTCCTGTCTGAACACTGTTCACTAAGGGAGAAGCCAGACAAGACGCTGGAAGAGCCACGTGTCTCCTTCGACCGCACAGGCAATCTGCAAGTTTCCCCCAAACATGGGAAACTAGCAGTTCTACAAGATTAAGAAGATTCAAGATTAAGAAACTGGTGCAGGGAGAAAGTTCTACCCCCCTACCTGCACCAGTATCCCAATTGGGACCTTATAGATGCTTTTCAGCAAGGGGGGGGAAAGGAAAAAATCACTCATTCCTTCGCCCCTTAAGAATGAACCGTTTCCCCAACAAAACGAATGACAAAACCCTGTGATGCGGGGCTGGTTGGTTCAGTCTCACTGAGAGGGGTTTCCAAAGGGGGGGGGGGGGGGCGGAACATGCCTGCTCTGGCCTGCAGGCTCCATTTCCACCCTGCCGTCCCAGGGGTTCCCAACTCCCTGGAGGGACTTTTCTTTCTCTCTAGGGTAGCCGCTACCATCACCTGCCCTTTTCCAAGGAATTGCTTGCTGGGAGGGTCAGGACTCCCAGCTTTCCTTCCACATTCAGAGGCCTTGCCTCTGTGTCTCCCACTGCCCAGCGTCTGGCCACCGTGGGAACAGATTCATACCTTGGGTGCCCTTGGAGGAATGGCTGCTTGCCAACCTCCCCCGGAGCCCCTCTAAAACAGCATTTCCAAAATGGTGGCGGTCTACATGGTGCAGAGAACCACTCCCAGCATCAAAACGTGTAAAGAACTTATCAAAAAAGAAAATGCAAGCATACTTTTAGCACAGCATCAGATCGGTGCAAGGAATACAAAAGGAAATTGGTAAACGTGGAAACCCTTTGTCCCTCTCTCTATACATGCCCTACCTGACGGTAAAAATAGGACAGGCTCTGTTAGCTTAGGAAGTTACAGCTCTCTACAAAGTGACCATTACCTTCTAGCTTGCATCATATCTCCAGGCTGACCCATGGTTAACGGCTGCCTGCTTTCAGACCACAGCTCTGAGCTACCCTCAATGCAGCATTCCAAAGAAAGAGAGCCATTTCCTGTTGCACAAAGATTTTATCGTCTCTGGTTCCCCTCCCACTTGACCCCAGGTCAGTCCAGGTCAAAGAAGAGTTTCCTCCAGCCCCTTCCTGGATATTATTCCTGGGCTGTTCTAGCCTAAAGCCCTCCAGACTCTATTCCCTGCCTGGAGAAGGGGGGAGAAGGAAGGGGAGGGCTTGACCATCCCTTTGTTTTTCCTGCTAGGCCCATGAGCATTTGTATGAAGGTTGAAGGTGAGCCGGTTCTATGCCTAGAGAGAAGGGGGGGGGGGACTTTTAAAATGCCAAGTGGAGGTTTGCTGCTTGCCATCCTCCCAGGAGAAAACGCATTCGGGAGGCGCATGCATCTCCCAAAGAAAGGATCTAAAAGGGACAATTTCAGGGGGTGAACGCCACATGCCAAGGCAAAATGTAAACTTTTGATAGCCATTAAGCTCTGAGGTGCTGAAGAACCTGGGACCTTCCATACGCTAAGCAGATGCTCTACCACTGAGCCACAGCCCCTCTTTACAGCTCTCCAGGGTCTCAGGCAGAGGTCTTTCACATCACCTACTGCCTGGTCCTTTTAACTGGAGATGCCGGGGATTGAACCTGGGACCTTCTGCATGTCGAGGAGATGCTCTACCACTGAGCCACAGTGTCTCTTTACAGCTCTCCAGGGTCTCAGGCAGAGGTCCTTCACATCACCTACTGCCTGGTCCTTTTAACTGGAGATGCTGGGGACTGAACCGGGGATCTACTACTGAGCCATGCCATATACTGAATCAGACCCTGAGTCCATCAAGATCAGTACTGCCTACTTGGACAAAATGACAAGAAAGTTTAAAAATCTGGAAGCAGAAGAATTTTTCGCAGACTGGATAGACTTTAAAGAATATTTAGAGAAATATTGGGATGTAAAGAACAACTTAATTCGCTTTGATTACTATTGGGGGAAAGATGAATGTATAAGAATAATAGTTGAAAGATATGTTACCTGTAGAATGTGATTAACGAGTAAGGTGAGAATTTAAGATGTGGGCTGGAGTTTGGAGCACCGTGGGAAGTCAAAAGGGGTGGGGAAATAGGAGAAAAAGATGTATAACAATTAGTAGTATGATGTATGTTTGACCTCTTAATATATCCTAATAAATTGTTTTCTGGGGAAGAAAGAAAAAAAGATCAGTACTGTCTACTCAAAGTGGCAGTGGCTCCTTGGGGTCTCAGGCAGAGGTCTTTCACATCATCTCCTGCCCGGTCCTTTTACCTGGAGATGCCGGGGGATGTGGGAACTTCTGCATGCCAATCTACCACTCAGCTCAGCTTCTAACGTGACTAAGCAGGCTATAACCTGCCTCTGCCGACACACCAAAACCTGCACCACTTTTGGGAAGCATGGCAAGTGTTTTCTGGGATTTGGACTGACATAATCTTTCAAGTTATGAGCAGAGCCTGAGTGTTTTGCTTCCGGTGGCAATTTTGCCGGACGAGGGAGGCAAGAGTTCAGCCGTTTGTAATACAACTAGTGCCAAAACACTGATGCAGTCCACCCCGTCTCTGCCTCCCTTCCAAAAAAACCCAAAGAAGAAGAAGAGAAGAGATTGGATTTATATCCTGCCCTTCACTCGGGAGTCGCAGAGCAGCTTACAGTCTCCTTTCCCTTCCCCTCCCCACAACAGACACCCTGAGAGGTAGGCGGGGCTGAGAGAGCTCTCTTGAGGACTGCTCTTGAGAGAACAACTCTGAGAGAACTTTTGACTGACCCAAGGTCCCACCAGCAGCTGTGTGTGGAGGAATGGGGAACCAGACCTGGTTCTCCCAGATTAGAGTCCGCGCGCTTAACCACTTCACCAGACTGCTACATGGCCATACCTATTCCGTTTTTCTGCTTCTTCTGCCCAGCCTTCTTCTTCGACCCAGCTGTGTCTGAAGGCGGGGTGGGCTGCTTCGTGACGGGCCCCGGCTCCACTTTCTTCCCCGCCGGCTTGGGTCCCTCCGGCTCCCTCGGGGCGTGCTCCTCCGGACTGCCTTTACGCTTCTTCTCCTTCTTCTTGCGCTCCCGAAGGCCGCCGGGGGCCTCCGTCACGCCCAAGGGGGGAGGCACAATGTGCTCTTCGTCGGCCCCCAGAGCGTCCGAGAGCCTGAAGTCCCTGGAGGCGCTCTCCGAATCGGACTCGTGGAGGCTCCCGTTCTGGGCCTCTTTCTTCTTGCTCTTCTTCTTCTCGGCTTTCTTCTTCTCGGTCTTGGTGGGCGGGAACTTCTGCTCCCTCTTCTGTTTGGCCACAGCTTCGTCGTACAGCGTCTCCTTCATGAAGAGCCAGAAGAAGAGGAAGATGACGGCGATCACGACGGAGGGGACGAGGACGATGAAGTAGGTGGACTCGTAGAATTCCATTGTGCTTTCGTTTAACTACGGCCGATAAGGGTAAATCTGCGATAGGGAAGGGAGGGGGAGAGAGAGAGAGATAATAAGACATAATGCGAGACAGAGACAAGGATAAGCAAATCGTTTAGGGCAGGGGGTGGCCAAACTGCGGCTCGGGAGCCACATGCGGCTCTTTCACACATATTATGCGGCTCTCAGCAGGGCGGCTGCGGAAGCTAAATATCATTCGCAAGCAAATAGCGTTGGACAAATAAATATCACTATTGAGATCTGCTTTTACTGCTTTTGTTATTATTTTTGGCAGTCTCATGTAATGTTAATAAAAAGCAAATGTGCATATTTCCCAGTAAAAACGTGTGTAATATTTGTTACACGTCTTCCGGCTCTCAAACATCTGACTTCTATTCTATGTGGCTCTGACGTTAAGCAATTTTGTCCACCCCTGATTTAGGGAACGACCTTAATATAAAACCATAAAGCAGACCTTTACGTGGTGTTCCTAAAAACCATCGGATTCCCCCAGAAGCATTATCAGGGCTTCCTCAGTTATAAGATCGGTAACTGGACTGAGTCAATAATAATAATAATAATAATAATAATAATAATAATAATAATAATAATAAAACTAATTAAACTCAGGGAGATTTGTTTTCTTAATCACCGCAGCTAGAAAGGAAGCCACTATAGCCGTGGTTTGATTGTCAGGGAAGTTATCAGACTTTGAGTCAATAAAAGAAGCCAGGGCCCTCAGTTTCCAATACCTGAGAATGGCTGCTAATGATCCAGTTCAGAAGAATGTTAATTCATAAGGTCATAAGAAGAAGAAGAGAAGAAGAGTTGGTCTTTATACCCTGCTTTTTACTACCCAAAGAAGTCTCAGAGTGGCTGACAATCCCCTTCCCTTCCCCTCTCCACAACAGACACCCTGTGAGGTACGTGGGGCCGAGAGAGCTCTGAGAGAACTGCTCCTGAGAGAACAGCTCTGAGAGAACTGTGGCTAGCCCAAGGTCACCCAGCTGGCTGCACGTGGCGGAGGAGTGGGGAATCAAACCCGGTTCTCCAGATTACAGTCCGCCACTCTTAACAAACTGGTGTAGAACCAGAAGAGGGCACCAAACGATAAAAAATACTAATGTGTCTTCCGCACCAGGAAATGCTAAAATGTTTGGGATTTTCCAGTGCAGAAAAACAGAAATGTTGACTAAGGAGTGATCCGGTTAACACCTTACAAAACAAAGTAGGGTGGGGTTAGGAGAGAGAGATTCTTCTCTTCCCTGCTTTACACCTCCAGGCAACTGATCGGCATTTAAGACATGTGAAGCATAAACTGGTGGAAAGCTGTTAGGCCAGAAATGTCTATCTGCAATGGGGGTTGGAGAGGGGTGAAGATACCTAAAAAGAACATGGGAGAGATTGATACAATTGTGAATGCCGAAAGAATGGAGAGACGCATTCTTCTTCTCACCCTAGAAATGGGAACACCCAAAGCAGCTGTTATTATTTCAAATACCACATAGTTTAAAACATGTTGGATTCACTACCACTAGCAGCGTCCCCTCTAAGCCGAGTTACTGTGAGTCAGCTGTCAGTTTTTCAGCCTCCGGCTCAAACATTTTTGTCTCGGCTCAGGAAGGATGGCTCCCGAGCAAACTCATGGATGCAAATTTGCTTGCTCAGAACTTTGATGCCGGTAGCTCATGAAGTAGAATTTCTGCTCACAAGACTCCACAGCTTAGAGCAGGGGTGTTAAACATGCAGCCCGGGGACTGGATCAAGCCCCTGGAGGGCTTCTATCAGGCCCGCAGTGGAACTGGCTGTCTTCTTCCAGTTCTGCTGCTGCTGCATCATCGTAGGTTTGCAGCTTACAGATACACACCTGAACAGCAGACTCAGGATTGCAACAGCACAGGCATTTTGATGCAATAATTCAGAGCAAGAGGTGTCAGTTATCAGGCACTGTTAAATATACAAAATATTGAAACGTGCTAATGTTTTAAGCATGTTTTTAAGTTTAAAAAGAACACCCTTTGTGTTTTTTATAAAGTTTATATCTCCATTACCTGGCATTACATTTTATGACACATATGGCCCAGCCCAACAAGGTCTCATTCATGTCAGATCCGGCCCTCATAATGAATGAGTTCGACACCCCTGGCTTAGAGGAAGCACCGACCACTACCATAGATTGCCCTGACCCAGATGGCCGAAGCTTGCCCGCTCTCGGAAGCTAAGCAGGGTCGGCCCTGGTTAGGATTTGGATGGGAGACCACCAAGGAAGTCCAAGGGTTGCTACGCAGAGGAAAAGAATGGCAAAACCACTTCTGAACGTCTCTTGACTTGAAACCCCTACTGGGTCGTCAGAAATCGGCTTCCAATGGGGTGAACGGGTGGCTGGGGGAAGCCGGCGTGCGGGACAAGACAGATCAAGAAGAAGGTGTCTCAGAGCGTCTTACAATCTCCTTTCCCTTCCCCTCCCCACAACAGACGCCCTGTGAGGCGGGTGGGGCTGACAGAGCTCTTGACAGAAACTGCTCTTTTTCAAGGACAGCTCTGACAGAGCTATGGCTTGATCAAGGCCATCCAGCCAGGTGCAAGTGGAGGAGTGGGGAATCAAACCCGGTTCTCCCAGATTAGAGTCCGCACACTCAACCACAACACCAAACTGGCTCTTCCAATGTTCTTAAGGGCAGAGAGGAATGAGCCCCACTGCTGGACCCCCTGATGGCACCTGGTATTTTTGGCCACTGTTGGACTCGATGGGCCATTGGCCTGATCCAACATTGGCTTCTCTTATGATCTTATGACAGTGCTCGCCTCTCGAGGTCCATTCTTGCACGCCCGAGGTAAGGACGATTGGATCGCCACTTTGGAATCAGGAAGGAATTTTCCTCCAGGCCAGATTGGCCCAAGGATCCTGGAGAGATTTTTTTCCCCCTTCCCCTGGGCATAGAGGGGAGTGTGTGTGTAGTCACTGGGTGTGTGGGGGATGGGTAACTGCAAACTCCCTGCATTCTGCAGAATAGGGCTGCCAAGCCGCGGCGGGGGATCCGTGCATCTTCACAGGATCCCTGCCGTGGGGGACAGCAATACGCGTTGCACCGCCGTCGCCAGGCCATCCTGGCGACGGTAGTGCAACGCGTATCGCTGTCCCCTGCGGCAGGGATCCCGTGAAGACGCACGGATCCCCCCGCCGCGGCTTGGCAGCCCTATTCTGCAGGGTGTTGGACTAGATGGCCCTGGGGGTCCCCCCTTCCAGCTCTATGTTTCTAAAGCTGCTACGGCAGAGACAGACACAGGAGTCCGGCCATGCGGCCGTTTGACCCGGCGGCGGCAGACTTCCAAGGCGCTTGAGAAAGTGAATTCAGTTGCAGAAGTTGACAAGCCACCCACCCCGGGCTCCAGTGATTTATAGGTTCAGGGACACGCCCGAAATGCCAACATACACTGGGCTGAATCTCTTATGCAACCCAGCTGTTGATATTCTTGTTTTGAGTGACTGAAGGAGGCAGTGGGGGGAGGGAACTAGGCACAGACTCAGGTATGTGAGCAAAGGTCGATCCCGACGGCACCTTTAAGACCAACAAAGTTCAATCCTGGGTATAATCTTTCGGGTGCACGCACGCTTCTTCATATATGTGAAACGGGTTTCCTCAAGCCTTACGTACAGGTAGAGAAAGGGCCAGTTAGAGTCAAGATGTATGACTGAGCAATGAGTATAGCTAAAATTGGATTAACGCTGTTGGTAAGACCTGTGAATAGCAGCAAATTAGTGTACAAATAAAAGAGCTAACAAATAGATGTGAGCAGGGGTCATTTCCTGCAGGAGCGCACAGGAGCGGAGCTCCAGCAGTAAAGAGCCCAGGGGGCGGGCACATGCAACAAGCCCCACCCCCTGCTCCCAGCAGCCCTCAGCCAGAGCGAGAAGCAGCCAGGTAAGTTGCAGAGCCCCCCAACCCCCCCAGGTCCAAAACAGTCCAGTGACACCTTTAAGACCAAGTTTTATTCAGGTACAAGCTCTCCCTCCTCTGCGAGGACAGATCTCCGGCCCCCTAGTCCAAAACAGTCCAGTGGCACCTTTAAGACCAGGTTTTATTCAGGTACAAGCTCTCCCTCCTCTGTGGGGACAGATCTGGACGCCCCCCCCCCCCAACAGCT